CCAATACAGCCAGCAGGGGATCTGGACCCTTCACAGCATCCAGAGTCAGATTCAACCCTCCAGGTTCCCCAGCAAGACGACACCACTCTCGCTTCAGCGTCAGACCTCACGGCTGGGCTAAAAGACGACGGTGACACTCCTGCCTGCTCCTCCTCTCAATCCTAAAACCTGCCTTGAGCCATACCCAACTCCACACACTGCTGGCCAAAAGACAGTGTTACAGCAGAGGGTCTGATGGGAAACTGTCAGCCCTCTCTGTGACTGATACGTACACATGGAATGCTCCTGAGACATCTATACAATCCAAATCCTTCTACCGTCCCCCTCTCATCCAGAAAATTACAGATTCCAGAGCTCAGAAAGCTTATCTGCGGTGAAAAGAGTCATTTCACCCCTTCCACATCTGGATCTACCAAAACACCAGCTCTTCCCCACCCTTTATTACGAAACTACAATCTCCAGCGAACACCAACCTGAATGTGATCATGTGACCCTTCCTTATAGTGCTGTGATGCTCTGTAGGCACTTAGCACATATCCACTAGCACGCTCTCAGTATCCAATAGCAGTAGCCCTTCTTTTTTTGTTCTCTATTTGTTTTATTGAGAGATTATATATATACATATATGCCACTGCATTTGCACTAATGTAACATAAAGCAATGCTCCAAAGTTTGTCTTGTCTGATACCAAATATTTTGGTCTGTATGCATTGAATCAAATTATATATGAAATATATACCCATGTACAAATATATATGTAAAGGAGTTTTGATATGCAAAAGTACAGTGTTAAGCAGCATCGAGTGTCATGAAGCGCCTCAGGCTTATATGAACGCTGCGCCTCTATCGACCTCTAGTGGCGGTAGTGGGAAGTGCCTCTGGCTGTGGATAAACACTATGACCGTTTAGGAGAGTCAATTTCATTCTCATCAGTATTTGGCATTTAGCGCATTTGTGAATATGAATACATTCGAGAATGTATGAGCACACTTTGCGAATGCCTAAGTGTTTAAGTTAATGTATTTAACATAGTTTGTTAAACGAATGCTGTTTGGCTTGTGGGATTTTTAATCTCCAAAAGGGTTACTTTTATCTAAGCCATCAGATTTTCTTTTTTTTATTATAAAAAAAAGCTGTTACAGCTATTTTCCATTTTTTTTCATGATTGAGATTAGAGAGTATAATTCTATAGCATTTAACCTCTTCTTTTTTTAATAAAGCATACATGTGGAATGATGTTCTGTGAAGGCTAACTTTGTTTGAATTGCAGCTGAATTCAGTAAAATATGCCTGAACGTGAGCCTGAATGTCAGAATAAATCCAAACCTAACCCGTGAAACATTTGTCCTGGCTTTCTTTCACAGTGCCTTTCTGAAGCATAATAAGACCTACCGGACTCTTAAAGCCACCTGTGATGAATCAAACAGACCCACACCTGAGTGCTGAGGTAATGTCAGACTGAAACCATCAAAACATCTGATGAAGAGAGACAGACAGGATATGCACTCATTTCCTGACCATTCGCCATCTTTCAGAGGTCTGAAGATCACTTGCTTTCCTTCCCCTCTTATAGAGTTACTGTACACCCCTAATCTGTGCAGTCGTCATAGCCATAACTATTCTTTTAACGTAACTCTTTTACTGTATGGATTTGGAAATGCGATAAACAGTTTGAAGTTATGGCATATTCCTGCTGTATTTAAGTGCAGTGAGAGGTGTTTCAGTGCAGGCAGATGTGAGCATTTATCTGCTTTTCCTGTGTGAGCACTTTAACTCCCTTTAGCATGAGGGGCAGGAAGAGAGAATGGAGGAAACATTAGCAAATCAAAGAACGCTACTCTTTAACCCCTCTCCATCCTTCTGATCAAAGTTAGCCTTGAACTCCGACCTTTGTGCAAAAAAGAAAAAAAAAAGTTACAAAAAAATACATGTGAAACTCAAGAACAAAGCACTCGGTCATTTTGGAAAGGCCAGATATTCCCTAGGTACTTTTTTCTCACGGAACCAGAATATAAATTATGTTGTCTTCACAAGTCCCCTCCAGTGTGAGTTTCTCCTCCACTCATTTTGGTTTGTGTGTCTCTCAGTGTGTGTGTGTGTGTGTGTAAAGGCCTTACAGCCAGTTTAAGGTCAAGTGTCACAGCAAAGTATCATTTTTTCTCTTCTGACCTAAATCTTGATAAGTGTTCTGTTGTAATATACATACTCAAAAGTAGGCCTACGATCACAATTGAATTCTGATAGGTCTATTTTAAAAGAACAGTTTAACCAAAAATTCAATGACTGTGTCAGATACTATTAACATCCATTTTATGAAGGGAAAAAAAAAGCAATGAAAGTGAACTATGACTGTGTCTTACAGTCCCTTGAATTCTGCCTAACATCTCTTTTCGTTTCACTGAAGAACTTCTTAGGGGTTTGGAATATCATGAGCGAGTACATAAGGTTTTTAGATACAGATTCTTTTCCCAATTGTGTTTCCATGTGTGGCCACAAGATGACAATGTTGGACTGTCAACCATTAAGCACGCGTCTCTTGTGTCCGAAACACTTTCACGATTTCTTTTCTTTTCCACAAATCTCAGACTCTCTTAGTCGCTGCGCAAAATATGCACACATTTTAGCAGTTGTCATGATCACCATGAGCTGAAACTCTTATTTATCCAATTTCCTATAGGTCAAACTGAGATGGAAAACAAAGCCAAAGGTAATAATGGATATTTTGGTGCATTAAGAACATTGCTTTCTCGCAGTCTGACCTTGACGCGAAAAAAAGAAGAATTTTTCATGTTGTACGAATTTAAGGCATTTTATCGAAACTATAGGCCTACCTGACAGTGTTAATAGACATCTTCTTTTAATAAACATAGGCTATATAAATAGGCTAGCCTAAATGTTGAAATGCGGCCTTATGGTTTGAAACTGATAAAAGTAGCCTACTGACTGAATTATCTCACATGACAAGAACTTTGTTTTACATTATGATTTATTTTATGTTTCAGTTCAATTCATTTATATCATCAACGACAGCGGGATTTATGTGGACATCTGTTTTACAAATCAAATCGAATTTGTCGCTGTCAGCAATAGGATTAGTTATATTATATAAAGATCAGTTTAAGCATTTTTATCAGATTATCGTAAATACAGGCACGTGTTTTATATATATATATATATATATAAAGATTGTAAATTGATTTTTTTCCATGCACATAGCCTACACGCATGCACTCGACGCTATATTTAAGTGATGCACAAAACGCGTTTTAATATGCTAAGTAGCCGGACTGTTTCTTATTTGGACACATGGAAATACACCGTTTCCACTGAGACTGCTTGTGTAGTTTCTGCCTCTTTAAACTGCTGTGTGGGAATATAAATATACAGGGACCCAGGGGCAGCAGAATTCCCCTCTGCCTGACCAGCACTGGGTTGGACGGGATTCTTACTTCCTCTGTCCGCTGTCTGTGGAGGATTCCATTTAGCTCTAGTAGCTACAATATCCATTTTCCGTGCATGCATATGCTCATTTTTGCACATTTCTAAAACACCATAAAGCTTTATAGTTGCATTCTAAATCTAAAACAAAACTGCTGTTGTGTGAAAAATGAGAAACACAAAGTGCTGCTTTGTAAAATGGTTTTGCGCTCCCAGCATTTACTGCTGTATATGTTATTACTGTCGTTTTATATCGAATCTGACAAAGCAGCTGTTAAACTGTTTGGGTCTGTACTATCCAGTTTTGTTTGATGCGTTTACTGTCATTCATATATGCTACTATCAGAACTGGATCATAAATCTGTACATGGCTTTTTTAAAATCAGCAATGGCGTTTTTAAATACAATATATGCGTCTTTAAATGCATTAAACAATTGAATCATATTAGTAATACATTTTATTTATTAGCCTATTAATTGATAACAATTAATCTGTTGTCAAATCTGCGACAAAGTTCACATTTTGCTCTAACGTCTTTTTTACTAAATCTTTTAAAGACTCATTATGACACTATTTAACACTAATTATTCATTTCCTCACATCAGTTGTCAAACACATCACATGGGCTAATGTCTCTCGTAACGTTACATAAAAACTCATTATTTCGATGACAGATCTCTGTTTAGTCTACTTCATCATGGTCTTAATTCTAGTCCACAAACGTGTTTTAAATAAAGAATAATATCCTAATATGTCCGCGGCTGCCTGGTGTTTCACTAACCAAAAAAAAAAAAAAAGTTATATTACAAAAGTATGTAAAAGTTCGTTGTTTACCTGAACGTAAACAGACGCTCACGCACAGAAACAGCGTTCGCCTAGCACAGCAGGTAACCATAGCAACAGTAGGCCGCTTGAGCACTTTGTGTCAGGATCATTATCGATATTTCAACAGAAATGAATAAAGAAACACTTTATTACATTTACATTTCTCAAAAAAAAATGCTGCCGTGTTTTGTTTAAAACGTCTTTAGGATAGTTGATGTTTGTTTAACCGTGTCAGGGGCGCCAAAGGACAACTTGAACAGCTCGAGACGAACCTCGACACCCCGAAATTTCCTTGAAAAATCCCTTTTAAAAGTCCAACCCTAGACCGGTATTTAAACAAACTTATACTGTGCCTTTTCTAAAATAATCTCACAATATTAAACAAAACATCTCCGTGTTCATGTGAACCACATCGATTTGGCTTCAGTCGCGCGCTCTGGTAGGCCGTTTGCTGCGTGACATTTAACGCGCGGCGCATAACTTCTTTCTGGCTTTCTCTCTAAACACGCCGCTCGCTAAGTGGGAAGGGCTGGCTGTGATATCTAATTAGGCGACGGTCTTCGTGGTTGGGTGGACAGCTAATGGTAGTTCAGCTTTACTTATGTTTGGGGGGCGGCCCTGCGTGCGCAGTCACTCCCTCCTCCTCCTCCTCCTCCTCCTCCTCTTCCTCCTCCCGTTGGGGTTAGTTTGCTTGTGTTTAGTTCCCAGAGACAGTCACATCGGATTCCTTTGGGAAAGGACACAAATCACTCCCGTTTGAACAAGGGGAACAGCGAGGGAGCTGTCTCCACAAGGGTCCACCTCTCCTGGTTGATTTCATATTGCTCATTCATGTGATTTGATCAGAGAATACTCTTTGTGGAGAAAGACAGGAAAGGAAAGGAGGAGAAAGTAAAGAAAAAAAAAGTCTCTGGGTGATGACATTTGACCTAACCCTCAGCGAAGCCCGTTCTTGATCCTATTGTTTCTTAAAGTGACATTAGACTTTTTTTTTTTTTGCGCACGCTAGCCCAAAGGGACCTCCAGTCTGATCTTGCAGTTTTTGTTTGTTTGTTTGTTTGATTGTTGCACGGTGTTCCCAAACCTGGATGTTGACATCTCGCGCTTCTTTTGGCACGTCGCTCTATTTTGTGTTTCAGAGAGGAAGCGCTAATAGAGACAAACGCGGTGACACCTGCTCACCCATACACTTCTCACTGTCTTTTTTAACGGAGCGATCAAAAGAAGCAAGCGCCGACTGAGACGGTGACAGGAGTCTGTTTTCATGTTCGGGATTCAAGACAGCATTCAAAGGAGCGGGAGTAGTATGAAAGAGGAGCCCATCGGTGCCGGGATGAACACTGTCCGGACATGGATGCAGGGTGCCGGGGTGTTGGATGCGAACACAGCCGCTCAGAGGTAAGCCGGCGGCGGTCTTCAGCGCTACGGGAACAGCTAGACGGAATACTGAGCGCTTATCATCCTGGGACGACACAAAACGCTCTTGTATATCATCCTAATCAGTGCGCGATATCTGCTTATTAATAACCAGGCGACAAAGAGATTGATTTATTGCTGCGATAAGTTCGTAGCATCCTCTTCAGCGTGCTGTTGGCACCAATACACAGAATTCTTGAGTTGCAAGTCACATTAAAACGGGTTTTATTAGCCTATTTCTAACATTATTATTCTTAACGTTAAAATAGCAGCCATAAGCGTTTTCTTCTAAGTGACTTTGCAGCCACTAGTTTTGCATTGATTCTGTAGCTTTAAATTTTAAATACTGAATTTGAAAGACAGTCCAGACCAGTAGTTTGTTATAAGCATCTGAACAGAGTTCTTAGATTGAGTTATATTTATATGAATTATTTTTTTTAACAACAACTACATCTGTACAATTAAAACGTCTCACTGAGTGTTTTTAAAAGACAGGCTACTTTTAAATAGCCTATTTGTTTAAACTATTAAACTGTCATTTTAATAGTACATTTTAAGAGCTTGTGCACTGCAATTTGAAAACTAAAAAAAATGCATTCGAACCCTTTTTTAGGAAATTGTAATGAAATAATCACAAACTAATTTTAATTTTTTTTTAAATTATACATATGTAAATATTTCCTCCTCTCTCTGTCTTGTATGTGTTCATAGTGGAGTGGGTCTTGCTCGAGCACACTTTGAGAAACAGCCTCCTTCAAATCTTCGCAAATCCAACTTCTTCCACTTCGTTTTAGCGCTATACGACAGACAAGGACAACCCGTGGAAATCGAAAGGACTTCTTTTGTTGGATTTATTGAAAAAGAAAAGGCAAGTGAAACGTTCTCTTTTGCATATTGGTTTTGCAAATTGGTATAATTTATTAAAGTGTAGGCTAGATAAAATATTATTGATATTAGCCTAAAGTTGAAAGCTTATTTGCCTGTACTCAATAAATCATATTCTTGCATTAAATTGCTGTTCTGCATGAATCCCTTAAAACCTCCATTTAATTATTATATTTGTATTTTACATTATTTTATTTGTATAATTTAAGAAAGCCTCATGTTTTATATTTGTTCCCTTCAGTACTTTATGCATTTACTAACAAATCTGTAGGCTAGCTATATTTTTTGCAGAAATATTACAGTGATAACCTAATGTCATAAAGTTAATATTCCCTTTCAAGGTGCTATTTAAAAAACATATTATTTTTATTATTGTGAAGGACCGTATGCTACTTTAATAAAAATACTCAACACAAATATAATGTTTTGTAAGCACTTGTAACTTAATCATAGTGAGCGAAGTGACTGATTTCATTAAAAGATGTGGCTATTAATGCTTACTGTGTATTTGATCACTTTGTACACGTCTATACATGATTAAATTGTGAAATCACACTGTTCAACACATAAGACTTATTATTATTAAGTATTTTTAACTCGTTCGCTTACTCAGTGAAAATGCATTTTGTACTGGTTTTGTTTCGGCTGGCTCATGTGCGTTAGAAGTTTTTTTTCTTTTTCGGCCTCCTGGTCCGCAAGGGAATAGCCGGTCTGACTCACGGGGCTCTTCAGAAATAGTAAAATAGGTTTTTCTTGCTAACCATCGAATTTATTTTTGCAGGAATCTACCGGAGAAAAGACCAACAATGGGATCCATTACAGATTGCAGCTTCTTTACAGCAACGGTAAGAAGAAACGCATCATCTAAGACTCATTGAACTTTGCATAAACACATCAGGGATTTACTTCTGCGCGACAATCTGAATAAAATAAAAAGACAGCGAGACTGATAGAACGACAAGGAGGGGTGACAAAGAAATAAATAACTCATTATGTAACTAGATGATTCAAATGAATATAATGTCCTGAAATAATAATAATAATAATAATATACTGTTATAACAATTCGTATAATTGTTCAAACAAAAGAGGTTCAAATGCGCAGCAAAGTCGTAGCGTTTTAACTATAAACATTAATGAAACACAAAACGATCCCCATTAGTGCACTTTTCCGGTTACGCGTTTTCCAGAAATGTGCACTTCATTTTTGATGGAAGCTAATGGCCTGGCCATAATGAAAGTACACTCTTTTCTGTCTACTAATGTGGTAAATGACAACCAGACGTTTGAAAGTTTGTTGCGCCAGTCCTTAACGACCCTCATCCTTTTTACAAGACGTTTTGAACATATTTTATTTAGTTAAAAATCATGTTTTCTGTAATTGTTATTTTTGATTATGTCTATTTCACTCTTTTATAAGCTGTACATTTTTCTTGCGCTTTTTCTTTCTAAAAGCTATTTTTATTTTTAGTTTATGTATGTGGGTCTAAGTTTGAGTTTCATCCAAAGCTAGTTATTTTTGATTATGTCTATTTCACTCTTTTATAAGCTGTACATTTTTTCTTGCGCTTTTTCTTTCTAAAAGCTATTTTTATTTTTAGTTTATGTATGTGGGTCTAAGTTTGAGTTTCATCCAAAGCTTTTTTTTTTTCTTCCGTAATCCTTTAACACTGTCTGCAGTCTATGTTGGGTTGGGTTGTCTAGACATTTGAAGCATCTATGTTGTATTAAAGTCATGGTATTGAGAATGATAAATTTATACCTGCCAGATCCATTTCTGATCTATGTTTGTGCATATGACCTGCATTGTGTTGCGAGTTAAAGAGGACTTATCTTCTCTCCTCTACAGGCATCAGAACAGAACAGGACTTTTATGTACGCCTGATTGACTCCATGACCAAACAGGTAGGACGTTATTTCAAAATCCCCACGGTTGGCTGGTGAATTGTCTGGTGAGAGTCTGTGTGTGATATGCAGCTAGAGTGAACGTGTGCCGTGCACCCTGGTGAGTTTGGGGTTACACACTCTAGCATGCCTCAGGGGCACGAGGATCGGTTAGTGTCTAAATATGACATACTCTCTCTGGGACATCATTTAAGATGACTGAGCGTATGCATGTATTTATGTGCATACGTGTGACAGTGAGATTGATAGCTAAAGAGGGAAAGAAAGAAAGAGACTTTCAGTTGTATTCATTGTCTGTCACAGGGGATTATCCAGCGGTGCCTTTCAATGTTTAAACGGCATACGTTTTTGAGTGTGTGTGTATGCGCGTGACTCTCTTGCAGATAGTGCATATTCAAATGTGTTGTGGGAACAGATGTTTGTTATGAACACACACGTATGAAAGTTGTTATAGCTTGTTATATTAACCGTGCAGGTTGTGAGCTTTAACCCTGGAGAAAAACTCATATGAGAAAACACAGGGCAGCAATAGTAACCTCACAATCTCATATGTGGCGCTCTTCCTTTCCCCCCTAAAACAGAAACAGCCTCTCCCTCTCTCTCATTCTCTCTTTCCCACTCGTCTCCTCATTCCCTCTCCCATGATCTGTGTCTAGAAATGTTGTTATGAAGACACTTTAGGGAAGTGTATTCAACAGCGATTACAGCTGCGAGTAATTCATAAGTGTAAATGAGAGAAAAATATTTAAAATACACTTGTAATCAAATAAATATGCAAAGCTGTTTTGATTAATCACTAAAATAATTGTGTTTCTTATGAGATTTTTCATAATAGTCATTTTGTATGACAAGTAATATGTGTGTGTATGTGTAACCCCAGCCAGGATGAAGTGTGTATGGATATGAGGTAATTAGCAGGCACTGTGACAGACAACCTGCTAACGCTCTGAACACTTAGTATATCATGTGATTTAAACATACCAGCACGCTTACCCTATTGTTCCACCCTGTTGCTACTGTTTTGCTTTGTTATGTGTGTGTATGTGTGCTTATTGAGAAGTGGAGAGTGAGAGAAATACTAAAACTCATCTTACAGTTATTTTAATTTAATCTTTATTTTGTCTAAAACAAAAGTGTGCAACGTTTAGTCTTTTACAGAATGTGTTCTTAAATGTATTATAGTTTGTATATATTTTAAAACAACTATAAATTAATGTATTAATTATGTAATAATTTCTAATAATTATTACAATTATTTTTTAAATATATTAAATTTTTTGAAAAAAAAAAAAAAAGAGCAAATACTACATTTTCACTAATATACTTGTTGTCATGACCCAAAGCATTCATTTCTATTCAGAAATTCCTACTACAAAATCCCTGGATGTTACATTTGGCTCAAACAGTTCCGCAGCTCCCCTTTCTGTATTGTGTGATTTGTTTGTGGTTTATAATTTCCTTTGCATGAATGTTTATGTGCAAGAAGCTAGGTGCTGTTACTGATGCTAGTTCTTGCCCTCGCTCTGCTCAGCGGTTTGGCCAGCGTGTAGCGGGACAGATTTATGTGTGTGGGTGAAAGGCAGGAGCGTTGTGCTGAGGGAGAGAGACTGTTCTCTGACACCCCTGAGGTAAATACAGTGGCCAGGGGCCTGGCCTCGGCTCAGCCTTTCACTGAGTGTCTCAATAAAAAGCCGTTTATATCCCCAGGGTTGTCTCCCACGTGCACATATATTACCGACTGATTTACTGGCTATTTCTGTGGCAAACTGCCCTGCCATACCTGTTAATGATGTGGTGCCACTGAGTGAGCGAGAAAATGAGATAGTGTGTGTGTGTGGAAGAGAGTTTGGCAGCCGAGTCAACATGCTAGCTAGTATCAGATAGTAAAGCATGGTACTTTGGTATTTACATAAAAATGTGCAAAATCTGTACCTTTAGGGGTACAACAGCTTGTCAGTGTGGCAGTACTGTTAAAGGAACAACTGCACCTTTTCATAGTAGTACCCAAAGGGTACATATTGTCACGCTGAGGTACAACGTTGTCTTTTTAAGGGTACTAGTGACAAGCCTCTAAAGGTACAACTTTTGTACACACAGAAAAAAAGGGGTCAGAATTGTACCTTTTGGGGTACAACAGCTTGTAACTGCAAATACCCGTAAGGACATATTTGTACCTTTTTTTACCCCTATTAGGTAGTACCTTAAGGGTATGTATTACTTCTCTAAGGTACTAATATGTACCTAATAGGGGTAATTTTTTTTACAAATATGTCATTTTAAGGGTACTGCTCAAGCTGTTGTACCCCAAAAGGTACAATTTTGCACCCCCTCCCCACTTTTTTTTTTCCTGTGTGTATTGTTTTTCTGACGGTGTAGGTACTTGGTATTATCATAGTATAATGTCCAAAAAACATGGTAAATGCCGCTCAGTTCTTTCAATAGCAGAATACTTTTTCCACTACATTTCCCAGAATCCCTTTCTCAAACGTTCCCATATTTGCAAACAATAACTTTTTTTTTTAGGGGCAAGGTATATTTACTGTTGCTAAACGAATGTTTGAGTGTGAAAAGGGTGAAAAATGTAATAACACAGATTTTGCCACATGCTCAAATTGGTCACATGGTTTTGACTCATTAAAAGCAGCATCAGGGCCTAATGAAAGCTTCACACACACCTCGGCACACCGTGCCATGCATGTTTCATGCGCTCCGTGGCCCTCCTTAAGGAGAGCTTTGTTCAGAAAAGTGCTAGGCTGGTGGTGCCACTGAGTGAGCGAGAAAATGAGATAGTGTGTGTGTGTGTGTGTGGAAGAGAGTTTGGCAGCCGAGTCAACATGCTAGCTAGTATCAGATAGTAAAGCATGGTACTTTGGTATTTACATACAAATGTGCAAAATCTGTACCTTTAGGGGTACAACAGCTTGTCAGTGTGGCAGTACTGTTAAAGGAACAACTGCACCTTTTCATAGTAGTACCCAAAGGGTACATATTGTCACGCTGAGGTACAACGTTGTCTTTTTAAGGGTACCAGTGACAAGCCCCTAAAGGTACAACTTTTGTACACACAGAAAAAAAGGGGTCAGAATTGTACCTTTTGGGGTACAACAGCTTGTAACTGCAAATACCCGTAAGGACATATTTGTACCTTTTTTACCCCTATTAGGTAGTACCTTAAGGGTATGTATTACTTCTCTAAGGTACTAATATGTACCTAATAGGGGTAATTTGTTTTACAAATATGTCATTTTAAGGGTACTGCTCAAGCTGTTGTACCCCAAAAGGTACAATTTTGCACCCCCCCCACTTTTTTTTTTCCTGTGTGTATTGTTTTTCTGACGGTGTAGGTACTTGGTATTATCATAGTATAATGTCCAAAAAACATGGTAAATGCCGCTCAGTTCTTTCAATAGCAGAATACTTTTTCACTACATTTCCCAGAATCCCTTTCTCAAACATTTGCAAACAATAACTTTTTTTTTAGGGGCAAGGTATATTTACTGTTGCTAAACGAATGTTTGAGTGTGAAAAGGGTGAAAAATTTAATAACACAGATTTTGCCACATGCTCAAATTGGTCACATGGTTTTGACTCGGATGCGGCTGTCAGTTCAAGGCGGCACTGGCGGCTCTCAAACAAGATTTGAGGAGCAGTTTGTGCAATATAAAATATGCATTAAAAGCAGCATCAGGGCCTAATGAAAGCTTCACACACCCCTCGGCACACCGTGCCATGCATGTTTCATGCGCTCCGTGGCCCTCCTTAAGGAGAGCTTTGTTCAGAAAAGTAATAGGCTGGAACTGGTTGGTAACTCTGAGCTGTAGCTCGCCTGTTGCTGTGTGTGTTTTCTAGAGCTAAGCTTCGGGCAGATTCCTAAATAAATTTGCACGGGAGAGAGGGAGGTCTCGGCCGTTCTTTCTGCTTGTGTATGTATTTTTCCTGTTAATTACGGAATAGGGTGTGTTTACATGCCAGAAACACTTCCCCAAAGTACACGACGTGCAACAACGTGACACAAATCTCCTATATTAGATATTTCCTATAATCACTAGCTGTTTGGAGAATGGCGCGCTCTGTGCCAGGTCACATAAAGGCTTAATGCTACTCATTTGAAAATATTTACACACACGAGGGCCTAAAGATTCCAGTGATTAAGTCTACTCATCTACATTGAAAATGTGAAATCTGTAGCAAAGAAAAAGCATTCAAAGCTACTATACACCATAATCTTAAAGACGTATTTTCTCTAAATCTGAGCACAACTGAACCAAACCCACCTGACTCAAGACTGATCATAGTCTAAAACAAGGTGTTTTCAAATTTTCAATGCCAATGACCCCTAATCTATAATATTTAATACATTTAATAATATTTATTATTATTATTATTATTATTATAAAGGCCCATTTTTACTGTCTGAGAAAAAAACATGAGTATGATATAATGAATACAACATATTTAGAAAATTAAATATTTATATTATTTTTTAAATATGACAAACTTTTTTAGTTAAAAATGACAGTTACATGAACATTCTTACATTCAGTTTTAATCACAAATTGTGTGCAGCTCTGTTACAATAAACTAGCATTGGTAATTCACACACACACACACACACACTGTACACCACACTCCCTCCTTCACTATTACACAATCAAGCTCTTGAACCTTCCCTACCAAGCTCTGCCCGTTGACTGTGAGAGCTTTACTTTAGCATCGTTTTGGTCTTGGCTGCAGACCTCTGGAACCAGCGTTAGTGTGACAGGGCTGAGCTTTCTGCTCACACACACACACACACACACACACACACAGACAGAGCTGTGTAAGCCCTGTTGTAAAATTAGACATAAGTGGGAAGATAGATTAACATTACTATAAATTTGATGAAAGATCAGATCATTATTCTTTAATTTATCATACACATCCATCAAAACTGCATAAACAGTTTACTTCCATTTAAGAGGGATGCAGTACGTTTATATCAAGGCTCAAGTTTAGACTTACGATGCACTATTACACAAGACACACCCAGATCATT